CATCACCTAATCTAGATCCATGTTCCTCAGATACACGCTTAGCTACAGTAATTGCTGCTATGCGCCTATAGATTGGAAAAAGGTAAATGGAATAGACACGAATTATTACAAATACATAAACGGGTTTACAACAAACCTAGGTTGAGTTACTCCAATCAGCCTAAACTCTGGAAAACTTTCTAAAATGTATTGAGGGATCTGCGTTGTTTTACCAGATCCTATAAATTTTAAAAAGAATTAAATTTAAATTAAAGATTATAAAAGGTCAAGAGACATACCGGTCTCTCCGATAACTACGAGTAAGGGTTCATTTTTTATCGCGTCAATTATTTCTTGTCTGTAAGGAAAAACCTTTTTTTAATCAAATGGCATGTCAGAACAATGACTATTATAATAAGAGCCATTATAAAATAAAAAAACTTACAGGTAGCGATTCTCTTTGTCTAATTATCTCTGTACTGACCATACTTTTTCTTGAAAAAAAAAAAGCTCAGTAAATTGCTATGAGTGACGCCAAAGAATTTTAAATATAAAACTCTTCAAACGAAATGCCGGCTTTAATGCTGTAATGAAATAACATGTGATCAAAAAGAACGATTATTATAGTCATGATTTTTGAACTACGCATCGGTATCGTAATAAAATTTAAATCTTAATAACAAATAACGACAAAGCCAACGCTAACACTACGTAGCAGGTAGTGAATTTGCAATAAATATGTTATTACTGCCAACAAGAAATATGCGATAGCTATTTTTTTTAACTTCAATTGATCCCAATATCATTTTCATCACCGTAGGTTTGGAGAAAAATTATATTTTAGCACTACAGTCAACCCTCTCTAAGTGCAAGTCAATGGGCCAGAAAATATCTTGCATTTAGAGAATTTACAATTAAAGAAACCTAATTTAATATGTAATTAATTGTCTCTAAATGCAAGTTAACTTGCATCTAGAAAAAAAAAACTTGTAATTAAATAAATCAATTTAATTGGTTCATAATATATATATCTTGCAATTAGAGAAAATAATATGCTGGCTAAAAAAAGAACTTGTACTTATTTTAGAAATCCCAACTTGGGCTAAGACTATTTTATTGCATTTAAAAAGAACTTGCAATTAG